AAACAGACAGACAAAACGCCTTCCTATTGATACTTCTCAACTCCTTATCATCATTTCTACAGTTACTTATTTATTTGGGGGTGCCTGTGCCACCATGCAGGTGTGGGGGTCAGAGGTGGCCTGTGGGAACCGGTGCTTTCCTTCTACCCTGCAGCTTCGGGGGACGGAACACGTGCTCCTTGTGAGCGGTGAAGTCCCTCAGCACGTCCCCAGCCCAGCCCTTAGCACTTTACACAGGCCTGCTAGCATCTCCTCAGATACGGGTGGAACAAGGTAAAATTAGGGTTAAAAACTGCTTCAGGACGGGATGAGGTGGCACACACCCTTAGTCCCAGCACTCAGGAGGCAGAGGCAGGAGGATCTCTGCGAGTTGAAAAGAGCGAGTCCCAGGAAGACCAGGACTATGCAAATAAATAAATAAATAAATAATTCTAAGTGTTTGAAAAACGTCTCTATCTTCTCCGCTACTTAAGAGCTAGCTGGATGAAGGCAAATTTTCTGATGATAAAACAAAGCCCAATTTTCATCCTATAAATTATCGCTGACGCCACAGCATATTCTAGCTTACATCTTGCGCATGTCCAACGCCCATGTGTTAAAGGCTGACACCCCCGCAAGTGGCACCACCGTCAAGCAGGTGAAGACTCGGAGGAAGTCTTGGGGCCATTGGGAGCATGCCCTCCCAGGTGACCGTGAGACCCTGGGCTCTCTATCCTCGCTTTTACTGCCTGACTATACTCAGGGAAACATCTGCCCCAGCGAGCTAGCTGCTGGCCCACCACAGGCCCCAGGCAAAGGGGCTGATTACTCAAGGGCTAGAACCTCCGATTCTGGGCCAAAGTAAACCTGCTTATGTCATATATTTGTTATAGTAAAGTACAGTTAACATGAAAGACACACTGCTTAAAGCATGCTACATGCATACACAGTGTACTCATGCATGAAAATCTCAAAAAGACAAAAGGATAAATAAAGGGTTACAAGAAAGGTAGTACTACTTTTCAAAGGAACAGTAGCAGGTAGAAGAGTGAACTGTTTTCGGCCTGAAAATTAATTTAGCTAAAATCTCCCATTTTTCTCAATAAATTCTTCAGAGCAGGAAAGTCTATAGTATGGGTTTGATGATGTTTGGAGTGAGGAAGACTTTCTCCAAAATCCACACCAACATGCCTGGGAGTAATTCAGAAATTTAACTGCAAGGGACATGAAGGAAGTGACATTATCTGAGGCTTGCAAGCAACACAATCTTGATTATCAGGTATACCTGTCCTTCTTCAAAAGGGATCAAGAAGGCTGTCTGGCTGTTCTTCTGGACGAGGGGGCACCTCAAACGCTGTTGACCATGACTGCTTCCTACCTCTGCTGGAGCAGCAATGGTAGCCGTATGCCAAGAGAGGTTCAGGGCGGAGGAGGGGCCTCCTGGGTTCTGAGGGCCTGCTGCATCCTGCCACGTCTGCACATCTGCTTCTTCCTAACACTGAAGGGGGCCTCTAACACTTATTGGCAGAGGACCCCATGAAAACTGTGGGGGAAGTCAATCTTTGTGTCCCTTCCTGTTCACTTGAGCCTGTCTCAAAGAGCAAATTACTTTAAAACTTCATCTTTCTTGGGTTTACCTAGGAATGGTTTATTTTCTATTGCTGAAAAAACAAAAATCGGAGGCTGCATGGCTTATAAAGAAAAACTGGAGGCTATATGGCTTATAAAGAAAAGAGGCCAAGACTGCAGCGACCGCACAGAGGGAAAGAGTGCGGGCAGAAGATTAGAGTCCAGCTCCCAGGACCCACTTTGGGCGGTTTATAACCATCCCCGTCTTAGTTGTTGTGACAGGAGCACTCGCTGAGTCAATGATAGGCCAGACTGACTGGCCTCAGGGATGCTCCTGTGTCAGCCTCCAGGTGCTGGGACTGGAGAGGTGCCTTGCAATGCCTGGCTTTTCAGAGGATCAGAATTCAGATGCTCAAGCTTGCATAGCAAGGACTTTATCTAATGAGACGTTTCCACAGCCTGGAATAATTCTTTTCTTTATAAAGATATACTTTTTACCTATGTGTACAGGGGGCAGAGAAGGGTATATGGATATAAGTGCAGGTACCTGTGGAGTCGAGGTGCCAGGTTCCCCTGTATGATAGGGAGCTGCTCGCCATGGTGATGGGGCCCAACTCTTGTTCTCAGTGTATGTTCTTAACCAAAGAGCCATCTCTGACGGCAGAAGTCCTTCTGTGTATATGTCTCTCTTATTGATTAATGGATAAAACACTGTTGGCTAATAGGGAAGCAAGAAAGGCAGGACTAGGAAAGGAGGAGGATTCTGGGAAATGGAGGAGGAAGTTGCCATGTGATCCTGGGAGGAGAGGATGCATGAGTCTGGAGTTCTCAGTAAGATAAGACCTTGTAGAATTACATATATTAGTAGCTATGGGTGAATACCTGAGACAGATCTAGCCAATAATAAGTCCTAGACATTGGCCAGCAGCATTGTAAGTGGTAGAGTCTATGTGTATTCCTCGGGGGCTCTGAAGCGGTGATGGACCCGGGCAGGAATTCTGTAACACATCTCTCTAGCCCCAGAATTTTCATTTTAAATGTCTTTCTTTTATGGTTGTTTTGGGTTTTTGTTTTTGTTTTTTTCTACATAAGGTTTCATTGTGTAGCTTTGGTTATCCTTTAACTAGCTCTGTAGACCAGGCTGACCTTGAACTCACACAGATCCACCTGCCTCTGCCTTCTGAGTGCTGAGATTAAAGGGGTGTGCCACCGCAGCCCGGCTCAAACATCTTAACTGCTCCTTTAGGCTTGTCCAACTGTCTACAGCATATTCTACACGTGCAATCCCAGTCAACATGCGATTCCAGAGGAAGAGAGGCGGCCTCTGCTTATCTTTTTGCATATACCTACTTTTCTCAAAGCACAGCACTGGGTAAATGTCATGTCCGTGACCACATTTATGACATAAGTTTACAAGGTCACCAGGCATTACCAAATGAGTCTGACAGTACCTTGACTAGCACTCCCATCAAGTCTAATGCTACGCGCCCTCAGCGCTAACCTTTGAAATGTTGGCCTCTTTAGATGAAGGCTTGGGGGATTACCTTTGGCAAAGCATAGGCTTAGCAGGGAAGTTTGATGGTCTGAGTTGCTGTGTGTCACATAACAGGCACTCACTACATCCAGTCATTTCCTCAAAGCGGGTATCAATTTACCGTTGTGCACGCAACTTCACAATTAACAGCTGGGAGGGGATGTAAATCACCGTAAAGAAGAAAACTCTCCCAACACACAGGCCATGCATGGGAGGGGTGGCCATGCATGGGAGGGGTGGCTGGCTCTAACTCTGTGTGTCTCCCTAGATTACCCAAGTATCCAACTGGAAAGCACCCTTCCTCCACAGGTTTCCCCACATGGGAAGCCACATGTGATGGGTGTGTGACTGGGCTATGTGCCCATCATGCATCCCTCTGGGATGAACATGAGCTAATTTAAACATGGAAACAGCCCAAATCATTGACTAGTTTATTTTGTTAATTCACTGAAAACCTATATAAGAAAATGAATAAGCAAAGAGAGGAAGAAAACCCTCTTCCTTAAGCTGCTCTTTGGATCAAAACAGAAACAAAGGAAAGTGTCTTCCATGCACTACTGTTACTATAGCCCTGTCATCTCCCTGCCTTCTCTGAGGTTTCATCCTCCATGCTGTCGGTTACTACAGTCAACCATGTTCCCAAAATAGCAAATGATAATTCCACAACAAACTATTTATAGGTTTGAACAACTTGTATTATAATACACTGTTGCAGCTAAGCGGAGCAGTGAATGCCTTTAATCCCATCACTCTAGAGGCAGAGGCAGGCAGACCTCTGTGAGTGTAGGCCAGCCAGGGCTATACAGTGAGACCTGGTCTCAAAAATCAAACAAAAGAAATTGCTGTATTTGCTATTTTCTTACTGTGCCTAACCATAACTTAAGTATTATCAATGCTAGAATGTATGGGGTGGGGATTTAGAGGGCTCAGTGCTCTCTGCAGTTTCAGACGTCCACTAGAGTCCCTGAATGTGTACCCCACACTGGCTAAGAACTGAATGTGTACGCCACACTGGCTAAGAAGGGACCGCTAAGGGTGTTTCACACAGGTTCTTTCTGACCGAAGGATTTTGCAGAAAATGAAAGAGTCTGTAAGAGAGACTGTGTACGGTGGGAAGATATGAGGATGGCTGTCCACAGAATACCTACAGTAAGACTCTGGAGGCAGCTGCCACCCTGGCTCTGTACTGGCCTTGGGAAGTGGATACTTACTCCTGTCTGCAAGGGAATCAGAAGGTGCTAAGGTCCCTTACTCGGATGTCATTCAGGGCATGACTGTTAAAATGCTATCTTCAACACAGAGAACTTAAGACTTCTTATTGCACGCTCCTTTTGCAAGAACTTTAATCTATTAGTGAAGAGAAACATCGATGTTTACGGGGTTTTCTTGGTGAACTCAAACTCACAATACGACTCGGTCTCCTGTGTACTGGGGTTACAGGCGTGCTTCTCTTCACGGAGCTTAATGCCTACTTCACTCCCACGAAAGGAGCCTTTAACCTCGTGGCATTGGGATGAAAAGACATTTGATTTGATTTTAACCCACTCACCCAACTTAGGACTTAAGAAAGCAAGGCCTGGCCATGGTATGCCAGAGCACCTCAGCGCAAGGACTCCCTGACTGGATCCCACTCTGTTTTCTTACACCGGACAGGTAAAGGCCACATGTAGGTAACAGTAAAGGATTACAGGCGTCAGCTGGGCAGTGGTGGCGCACGCCTTTAGTCCCAGCACTTGGGAGGCAGAGGCAGGTGGATCTCTGTGACTTTGAGGCCAATCTGATGTGGTCTACACAGCTACACAGGGAAACGCTACCTCAAACAAACAAACAAACAAAAAAAGAATTACAGCCATCTTCAGGGCATGTGACTGACGGTATTATTCCACTAGGGATAAGAGGAAATTTAAAAGTCTCTTACTGTTAGTTCTGTTGGTAAGGATTTCAATGGCCACCTGACCTGCTGATGAAATTAAGAGAAACAGTATCAGTGCACTCAAAGAATACAGTCTGAAGCACTACTGACAAGAGAACAGAAACGCAGGGATTGGATGTGTGTATCCTTGACCCAAGTCTTGCCTACATAGAATTTTTTCAGGAAAGAAAACAGTTATCAATCTTCATGAAAGTTTATTTCCACATTATGAAGCATGGATACCCTTCAAAAACAGGACCATTCATTCAGCTACTGTTAAGCCCCACACACACTCAGTAAAAGGCATGTACACACTTAGAGTCTTCATTGCCTACAAATATCATTAGATGTTCATGACAGCATTTCTCTCTTTGGGAGGGGTCTCGTTATCATCTCGAAAATAGTTTTCTATTTCAGTCTCTCAAATAGCATCATCCAAAGGGATGAAGATAAAATATTTTCCTTAAAGAACATCTGCCCTGAAATCTCATTCAACACTTTCACAATCTCTTTTAGTGTGGTACCTTCTCTGCTCTCCATCATAATCTGAAACGTCAATATTAGCTGGCAGAATTTACCATCGAGGAGGACACAGGCATCACGGGGGAAAGAGAGTTTAAGCCATTGTGTTGGGAGAGCTACCCCAGGGAGAACAAGGAGAGCGGGTGACCCCTTTGGACTGACTGGACAATAACAACAGATGGCTGACTATGTCACTGAGATACTTTAGCACAGGAGGGAGACACAAATATACTAAATGATATGGGTTCTAAGATGACTGTTTCAGCTTCCCAGCTTTGGGGTCGTGCTAGACCTCCAGCAATGTACGATACACTAACTACTACAGCATCACTGCGAAGTCTGGGGAGAGGGAGTTACGTAGAACCACGATGGCTCCATCATGCTTTACACCAGCAGATCATATTTCCCCTCACATTCCAGGGTGCCTTGGATTAACATCAAAGACAGGAATTCTTAACCCCACCAACTGGCAGACACAGGAATTTCAACTGCTCTGAAATGCTGACTCTTAAGTAAATCACTATTCATTTCTTACTTTCGGACCTGCTAGTAAACCAAGAAACACCGTCAGAACGAGTCGCTGATGAGATCACGGATCACAGAGGAGCCCCGCTAAGGCAGTTCTTGCTCTCATCCTCCAAGCACGGCAAGTTCCCAATGAAAAACATTTGATTCACATTAGCATTTCAGGCACAGCTCCTGAAAATTACCTTTAGGAGGCAGCGAACAGAGTACAGCTATGACTTGGCAGGTATGATTACCGACATAGCTTTTTCTTCCATGTTCTGAAAGCCATACCCAGCCACCAAAGAAGACACTAAATTTTCTGCCTATTGCAGAGAACCAGGTAGATACTGCTACCAAAAAAATCCAAATAACTGGCTGCAATTTACAACCCGGTTTTTTCTTATAGTTGAGATTACATCTAGGTATTAGTGGAGTCATTCATTCATCTTAAGAACAGGTTAATTTTTGTAACATCCCATCAGGCAGTTCTCTATTCCTAAAATCACTCATTGCTACTCTATTGGTAATTACTTTCTTTAAGTGCCACCCCAACTGCTCCCCAAGACAAGGAAAATATTTGAATAATCCTTAAAGAACACAGTATAAATGCATAAACGACATGGGATCTGCTCTTAAGAAAAGGTATTTTGATCAATTAGAAGAAATCCTGTGACTATTGTTTGAATCCATTTAAAGTCATCGTCTAGATCATCTCAGGCCAGTGATGATTTCTAACCATCTCTAATGCTATTCAGAAATAGAGAGCTGTAGCTACATAGGCACAGCACAAAGAGAAACGAACATTGAGCACAGGCACTGAAGCCGATGTCTAGACAGCTACAGTGCAGAGACAGAGACGGAGAAACTCGTGCATGTAGCATAGGCACTGAAGCCAAGCGACCCGATCTGATCATCCCTACACTTCGCCGTTTTCACGCCACCACCACCATTAGGTTAGTCATAACCCACGCAGGAAGCGCTCCAGTTGGCTTGCACGTGAAACGACCAGAATGGAAATACTTTAGAATCCGTTGGGTACCTGAGAGCTTCATGAGGAGTTCCGAGGCAGCTTTAGCAGACATGTCCCGCCTTGGCACGTTGCCCTTGCCTTCCTGGGGCGTCAGTGGATCCTCCGAGAGGTTAGGGGTCGCCACTTCCGGTTCCGGGCTGAAGACGTAACTGGACCGAGGCAAAGGTGTGCTTAGGGACTCCTCTTCCTTGGGTTCCTCCTTCACTTTAAAGTTAAGATTCATGGGCTCCGTCTGGCTTGCAGCTGTCAAAAGAAGAAGAAGAAGAAAGATTATGTCTCCCCACTCCCCCTCTAAGTTGCCCACACTTTACCTTGTGTTTAACAGCTGAAGGAGCCAAAGTGGCCAAAAAGGCTAACCCTGAGCACACCCTTATGCAGCGCACCCCGCGAGCCTCGGCCTCAGTTGGGTGTGAGCTTCAGCATGTATTAGACCTGGGGTGTTTTCCAAGTGCTGTCTGTATAAAGCATTGTCTCCGTGGTTTCTCTAAACTTTCTTCCCTGGACACGCTGTAGCCTCCCCGGCCTCTCAGCACATTCTCCAGCTAATTCCATCGTTAAACAATGGCTCACGAAATTATTCTGCTGTCGAATATCGAAATAAAAATAGGAGTCAGCAGCAGTATCTAAAACTGAACCCCTGGGGTGGGTGGAAAGGTTAAGAATGTCGAATTCTGCCAAAAAGAACACCAGGACCGGAGATCCATTACCCCACCTTATTACCAATGGGCACTAAGCACAGAAACCATGTAGCTTGTGTTGTCACCGTGAGTGAAAATGCTTGCGGAGCCTAGGTCATCTTCATGTGAAATAAGAGTTTTGTTGTGTTTCAATTTGGTCTTTTTTTTTTTAATACTTTGGAACGATTTTAGATTTACAGAACAGTTGCAAGGATAGCTCTGAGAGCTCCCACACAGACTTCTCCAAGAGTGGCATCTTCATCACCGTACCCAAACTCCAAAGTTGTTCACTGTTGCCCCCTTTCTTCGTTTTTTTGTTGTTTTGAAACCATGGGCAGCTGGCATGGAAACTATAGTTAGAACAAAGCTAACCAGCCTGTCATGGCGGTGGTTTCTATGGGCTGGCTACTCTGTACCAGGCCTTTCCCCTGGGCACACACCCAGCATAGGCCACGGGCAGCAGGCGGTGCCCCCATCACACTGCCCCTCCCCTCCCCGTCAAAGACCCACGTAGTGCTAATAGCGGCTGTGCCACATAGGATGCGTTTGTAGTTTGGTTTCATCCCAATCAGTGTTGTTATCAACTCTTCTTAGCAAGAGCTTAGCTTGTCCCATCTTAGCAAACAAGAACGAGAAAATCAGTCCCCAAAGCTAACACAGTCCTGGTCCAATATACTACAGTGATATTTCTCATTTCTAAGCATGCTTACTTTAGACTATCAGTTGGAAGGGCTTGGCATATTTGCAAACTGGACCCAAGAGCTAGAGGAACATCTCCAGATCTGACGATTATAATTACGCAGAGCTGGGGCTAGAACCTAGGTCCTTGCGTCCCTGACTTCCCTCGCCACACTGCATCTCCACCTGGGACCCTGTGTTTTAACAAAGCCAGTAGAGCCGTGGTTCAAATACCACGTGCTCAGTGAGGCCCACACTGACCATCTGTTTAATACAGTGACCTTCACCCAATGTACTCCCAGTCTTCCTTACCTGCTCTAATCTTTTCATTCTCCCAAATATGAACGCTTACCATTTAATAACACGCATTAGGCCCCCCACCCCAATCTCTATGAAAGGTGAAAGCTCTACCTTCCCGATGTGAGTATTTGCATGAGGGCTTTATGGGGACACTGAAGTTAGTTCAACAAAGGTAGGGTCATAATCAGTGCCAGTGGCTGTAAGAAATACTTTGTCTGTCTCGTTTTATGAAGGGAGACACCAGAGATGTCTCTACATGGGGGAAAGGTCAAGTGAGGACATAGAAAAGAAACCATCTACAAGCTGAGCAGAGAGGCCTCAGGAGAAATCAAACCTGCTGACAACTTGATGCTGGGCTCCCAGCCTCCAGAACTGCAGGAACTAAGTATCTGTTGTTTAAGCGCTTTGTTGTGGCAGCCCCGGCACATGAGTTGAGTATTAGAGATAATGTGTTCTCTCGACTCCAGACACTGACCTCTGCTTTTAAAGTTGATGCGTGTCAAGAGCATAGAACTGTGCCTGGCACACAGCAGAGGCCCCATCTGTACTCACTGAATGATAAAATGCGTTCACTCTAAAGTACTGAGACACTGATGGCATCCTAATAGCACCACGGTCAGCACAAACGAAGAACCCTGACATTTCCACCAAGGGAGTCAGAGTGCTTCCCCGGACGTATCATCAGGGCAAGGCTAGCATGGCAGAGGTAAAGTTCCAAGCTTTGCTCCCTGCCGAGAGCACGGGTGTACTGGTATACCTCTGAAAAACTACGTGGACTCTAGCATCGCTAATGGATAGCCTAGCCTTTGGGGACACTGCCACCAAAGCCTTAAAGCAAGGGAACAGCGATGGTCTCTAGAGCAATTCTCAGATGGGCGCTGCCTACCTCATCCCAGGATGCTCTATTTTCTTCTTCCCTCTACATTTTCCAACCCCTTCCTGGGCGGCTACCAGCGGCAAGCTAATGCCTAAGCTTTGCCCACACCTCCTTCCAGAACCGCCATAAACCCTCCCCAGTGCATCCTGCTCGGTCCCAGCACAGCGCTCAGTGTGTGTGTACTATGATGTGTGTGCTTCCCGTGTGCGTATTGTGTGTGTGCTTCCCTGCCATTCAGAAGGAACCATTCAAAGTGAACAGAAATGGCTTCCATGCTACGCCTTTCATTTGCAAACATGTGTAACTTCTAGGATGAGACAAGGAAAGGTAAAATACTGAGAAGAATTCCAACTTCAGAGAGGGTGGCCACATGGAGTGGATCTCACGGGACAGGTGAACCCCTTCCAGGAAGGTTTATCAGAAGACATGCTGCATTAGACTTAAGAGAAATAGGAAATCCAACATCGTCAGTGAAACTGGGACGTCGTGGGCCTTTGACAAGACACCTGCAGAGTGACAAGCCAGCTTTGTGCTGCAGTGACATAAGCTTGTCTGGTGCTACCAACCTGGGTCTTCATTCTAACTGTATCACAGCATTGCAGTGTGTTGAGGAAGTATAAATACAGCCAACAACACAAAAGAAAAACAGAAAACACTGTCTACCCCAGTTTTATTTCTCAGGCCTGTGCATCTAAAGAGAGGATGTAAAAAGAAAAACACGTAGGCTGGGACCCTTTCTATCAATTATCAGAAACATGTTCACGGAGATGAGTACACGAAACCTGGATCTTATCATTAATATGGCCAAATAATTGTCATCATTTAAACAATGCTATCTTTAAAAAGCCTACATATGCAGAGAAAAGTAAAACGAGGCTGTTTTCCTTTAAGAGGGAATCACTTGAAGAAAAGCAATGATCTGTGTCTTACTGTGACGTCTACTTCATTCGTATTACACACAGAGGAAGATCCATGCACATGGACCTCAACCCATACGGGCTTTCACAGCACCTGCCCTGACTTCTGCTCACACACCTCACAGATGGCCGACGCTCCACACCACAAGGAAGTCTCACTAGTCAAGAGGCCCTGTCTCCCTTTCAGTATTTGTTACAAACATTCTGGCTCTAAAGTGCACTTGATGGACTGGACTGCCATTTAAAGGAATCAGATCTGCTCCTATGCGTATGTACAATCAATTAAAGATAAATACGAATGCATAAAAGAAATGGGCACGGGCAAAATAATTACAGAACTTCAGTCCTCAATGGTGGGCATTGATAAGGTGCGAAGGAAACTGGGCATCTACAGGGAGATTCTCTCTAAGACATGGTCTCCAAAGAGCAACTCCACACAAAGTACTCAGAGAGCATTCTTGGGTGGGTGACATGGTTTAGTTAGTAGACGTGACTGCCATCATGCCTGATGACCTGAGTTCATTCCTTGGCACCCATGTGATGGAAGGAGAGAACCAACTCTCACAAGTTGTTCAGTTGTCTCTCTCTGACCTACACACACATACAACATGCTTTGGTTTCATAAGGAGCACAGCAAACATTTAAATAATTACAAGGGGGTTAAGTCATCTTCAACGAAATAGGGAGGACATGCCATGACTGCCTGCAGGTGGGGAACAGAGCTCACGGACAGAGGCACGAGACTCCAGAGCACCCACTGAAGCTGCAGAGCCCTGTCCTTCCTCACCGAGACACTCGGTTTCCTTTAAGACAGTCACTGACCTACACAATGCAGCGTGGGCCTGGGAGGATCAGTGGCTTGGATTGAGCCAAGGGTCATTAGTGAAAGAGGGAAAGAGACCAGAACACACTTGCCTTGGCCCTGTGCTGCCCCCCATGAGGGGGAGGGGCGTGCAAGATGACGAAGGAGTCCTGGTTTCCAGTCTGCGATCTGATGATGGCTAAACCGCTCTGTGAAAAACCTTGGCCACTGGGGATTACATCTTCTACCTCATCCTAAACCAGAGCCAGACCTGAGAAGAGAACCTCACGTACACAATTTTCAAGCAGTATTCCAAGGAACCCTAGGATATGCTGTGGGAGTTCCAGTTAATGCTTGTTTCAAATGTAATTTTTTTAAAGTTGCTTTTGAATTCATGTAACATTTGATTTTAAAATGCATGTCCTTGTCAGGATTACACCTGAAATGTCAAGTCACCAGAGAGCACCAATGTGCCGACTTGTGTTGATGCGTCAGTTTAGTTTTGGATAATGCAGTGTCTCCAGCTACCACAGGACTGTTAAACTTCTAGTAATACGTCATAAGGAAGCAGCTTGCTGATCTTTGTAAGACCTGTGTGCGAGTGCCATTGTAACAGTGTACAGTTGCAGTACGACCGGAGTCTGTGTGCACCTCAGACCTGGGTCAGCTTCTCAGCCTTAGCAGTGTGGATGTCTGGACTGGAGGAGGGGCGGCCATGCACACCACACCCCTAGTCTCTACCAACGGGGTGCCTGTAGCTCCTTCCAACCGTGGAAACAAAACTATTTCTTTAGACATTCCCAGCTGTCCTCTGGGCATACCTGCCAGAAATTAAATGCCAGAGTAGGTTCCAGAACATATGCCTGGGTGTGCCTTCTGATGGCTAGCAGACAAAAGAAGACAGAGATATGCAAAGATACATAAATGTGACTGGACCTGTAAGTTATGGATCACAGTACACAGCCCAGAAAATACTGAGTTTCACCAGGACT